TTTAAAAAATTGAATTTTTAACACTTATTTTTAAAACAGTGAATAAAAATTGATCTACACAGTTGCAAAGGGTAGATTCTTAAACTGGTGATTTTAAATTTGTACTGATACATAGATTTTAACAAATATTTTAGGTATAGTCATTTAATAGTTATACAAGTTTTATTAAATGAAATAAAGATTTATGCAAAATTAGATTTTATATAAACATCAGTAAATCTTGATAATTCACTTATCTAAAAGCATCCGATATTTTTTTTATGGACGTGTAATTAACAAAATTACCACGTGAGCCTCTTGCAATGAGCCCGTTTATTGGCTTGCTCAGTGTAGGTCATTTTTTCTGGTGCTTCTCCATAGATGTCCATGTCATAGTTTGACTGTAAGTGATAGGAGGATGCTGTGCCTAGGCCATCACCCATATCTCCTGTAACAGAAGGATTGCAATGTGACATACAAGACTTGACTTTTCAATCTAACCTCATTCCATCGTGGTACTGTCAATTAATTTCTGATAATAGTATACTATTTTTTATTTATTACATTACATTTCATGTCCATTTACATTATAATATTTATCCTCAGTTATATATTTTTTTTTAGCAGTTTATCTTGAGATAACAAATTCTATAATACAAAAAAGCCCAAATGATTATCTGAAAAATGAAAAGCCGATTTTTAATTTATTTATTGTACATTATCAATAGCTGAGATCAAATAACTGGATAACCTACCATACATCCCTGGGGTCTCAGCTCCGTCAAAGTAATAGTCATCTGGAGTAAAGCCTGCCTCAAGCAAAGCAGTGCGGCATGCACTTCGTACCACTTCTTTGACAAGTTCTCTAAAATCTTGAAGTCTGCCAGCAACCTGCATCATGATGAAATATTAGGCTTTATAATTTAATTTATGATCAAAACTTAACATGTGAAGCATGTCAGTCTGCTTTCACATTTCTAAAAGCAGACATTTCATATTTGGTAACACAGCTAGTGCAATCAACCACGGATAGTGTGCCTAAATATTAACAAAATTCTTCAGTGTAGAAACCATTATTTTTTTACTATGCGTTCAAAGTATTTTTTATGGTGAAAATTCTTAGCCAACTGTGAAAACCCCATTAAAGGAAAAATACTACAAATGCAGTGGCTAAAATCTACAGATGTGTATGTAACTTTTCAAAAATTTTTATGGAATTTTATTTTTCAATTTGAGAAACCTTTAAGTTTCATGTGAAAATTCTGAAATAGTGCCCCCCCCCCCCCCACACACACACACAAACCCTGTATGCAACCACTCCTGAACTAAATTAATATTTTAAAGTTTCAACCATTTTTACACAGCATATTTATTACACCAACTATTTCCCTTTAAAAAAAAAAGAAAATATGCCCCAAATGCACTTGCAGTATTTTTAAGAACCTCATTTAGCAGTTATCTGGAATTTTATTTTGTATGCTATTGAACATCTTGTAGTGTTAGTGGCATTAGTTGATTGTTACATAGAGAGTTATGTATTTTGGTTGCTTTTACACTTTTGTTGGCCTAAGTTTATTTACATCAATAAGTGACCTTTAACTTTTCTTTTTTAAAAAGAATAACAAAATGAAGCAAAATAATTGTCCTACATCATTCAGTTGATTGAATTGGGCCTCTCTGAATTCTGTTAGGGTATATGTGTGGTCTTTGTCAATCTGGCACAGACCCATTTCACTGATACGGTGACACATTTCCCGTACATTCAGCAGAGCTGGACGGAGTGACTAAAAAATGAATCAAAGAAAATCGACTTGATGGTTAAATTATTATAACTAGGACATAATCTAAAAATATATATTCATTATTGGGGAATTAATATCATAAATTAGATAAACATAGAAGACAAATGTATATCTTACTGGGTTGACAATGAACAGATTGTCATCCAAAGCCTTCTTGCAGCTCTTTATTTTTGTTGTCCTTACATTTTTACGCCACACACTGAATGCTTTCCATTTACGAAACAGTGCGAAGGTCTTAATCTGTTTAACAAGAACAATACAAAGTGTTTTAGATTAAAATTATTTTATTTCATAAAATCTATTCCATGTTTTAAAGAGTTAATCAGTCCATTTTAAGTAATTTTTTTTTTTTTGAACAAACATATTAGCATTTTTAGTTAATTTTTAAACTACTTTTTGGTGAGGCTTTCCCCATATTAATAGTGTCCATTCTGCTTTTTAAAAGTAATATTGTTAACCCCTTCATTACCACTGGTTTTCGGACATCGATATTTGCTGATATTTTCGGTATTTTTCACTCTCTATCGGATTTGCTTTTTAACTTCTCTATAGATTAACAAATAAAGAAATATAAAGCATTGAAATGTGATGTCCTTGGTATTTCAGAAAAGTTCTTTGCCTCTTATGACAACAATGTGATGTCTTTTGTAATTAAAAGTGGGTGATCGTGACGTCGCATCGACGTCATCGGTAGCAAAGTGGATAATATGCTTCCAAACAGGCTTATGTTGTTCATTAACTTTATTCAGCAATAGTTAACAGCTATTTTCAAGTGCTATTGTATAAATATGGATACTCTACTGCATGCCCTAGCTAGACAGTATCTATCTACCTTGATGAGCCTTTCAAAATAGAAAACTTCTTGCTCCCAGTGATCCAATAAAATAAATTCTGTCTCATCATCTTTCCTCATTCTTGTTACACCCTTTTGACTGATCGTCAGGTAATCTGGCTTGTTGATATGTTCATGGCTAACAACTCTAGTTAAGAGAAAGTTAAGATGGTAAATTTAAAATTTTAAAAAAAGAAATGTGCCTAAATATTGTTTGAATATTAAAAGAAGATAACAATTTTGCAGATGTCAAAGTAGTGACAAAATAGTGAATATTCCACACTCAAAAAAATTGTCAGGATATCTAAGCTACTTGATTATTAAAAAAATCAAATTACTTGAGATTGTAATAGTGATTGTGAACTGATGACTTTGAATAAGCTGGGCTGAGGTATAGGAATCCTACTTTGGGCTCTTCACGTATGATTGAGATGATCCGGTGCATATCACGAATACCTTCATATGATGCTGGCACTGAATAAAGCAAAATTATGGTTTATTGAATTATATGTGAACATTAGCACTTTGAGTATCCAAAAAAAAAAAAATAGAAGACAAATTTAGGAATCAGTTAATATCATTTCCTGATATAAATAATAAAAAATTTTCATAAAACCTACACTTCATACGAGTTGTTGCTGGTGCTGTAGGACCTGAAACATGCACCAGCCCTTTAGGAGACTTTACCCTGGTATCTCTTGGAGTCAATGGCCTGGGTACTAGCTCTTCCTAAAAGGAAATTAGGAGAAATATAATGGTATCAATAAATGAATTATTTCACTATTATAGAATAACCTAAGATTAATGGTGAACCTTCATAATTGAGGCTTAACATCTTATTATTCTTATCTTACCTGTTTTTCCTTAAGATCCTGGGGAAGTTCTGGTGCTTTTGGAATTATTTCCAAGGGTTCAACAGATCCAGCTCTCTTCAGTTTTTTAGGATCATCTCGTAGCTCATCTTCCCATGCTCTACGCTTTAGCTCTAGTGCTTCTAAATTCTTTCTCTGAATATATTCTGGTTTGTTGACAGTCTGATATTTTTGCAAGGCCGGCTAAGGAGCAAATAAAAGAATTCCTGTTAGATTTTTAAAAATGTATAGGACTCTTTAAAAGAAAACTATTAAATTATCCAATCAAATTAAATCAAGATTAACTAAACTTTGAATATTGTTTTCCAATAAATTTCTTAGTAAAGGCTTTGAAAGTTTTTTTAAAAATAAGTAGTGCTCAGTGCAACATGTAAATATACATGTGGTTAATATTAAATAAAAATTGAAATTATCCCTAATATCATGCACATTCAAGACTGCAAAATAAATTTGGTAGATATTAAGCTGGTATCAGAATAAATTAAAAATATGCATTTATTGAACAATTCAACAATAAATTTCAGAGTCAGAATGTACAACGTGCATTTTTGTTGTTGTTTTCTGTCTTAAGTATAATTCATTAAACCATATAATTGTGTATACTCTATATTTTAAAAATATAAACAATGTGTGGTTTTAAGATGTTATGGTTATATATATAACTATATGATTAATGGAACTTACCAAAGGTTCTACATGGGGGCCAAGAGGTGACTGTATTCTTTTAGCTTGAGATCGTGTCACACCTCTAAACACAAGAGCATTTGGATTTGGCTTAGCTGTCAGGGGGGCATATGAGTACAGCCTAGCTTTTAATTGTTCAGCTCTTGAAGCTGCATTTAGCAATGGTGCCTGATAAGCGTTCTCCATTTCTATATTTGCACTGCTAAGATCCAAAACATTGACTTCCATTTTTTTAAATTCTGAAGGGGAAGAAAAAAACATCCATGACTTAGATTTATATTACTATATTTAGTGATTTTAAATTGAAATAGTGATTTTAAAATTTTAATTTCAATTCGCTCAGAGGATTCTTGAGTCTGAACACTCAGAATCAATAGAAACTAAAACAAAAATACGGAATTTAATAAAGGGGAAGACTCATTGTCAGTCATATATTTAATAGTATTTGTACTTGATTAATATGTTAGTCATGCTTCAACTATGTCTTAATTCTTTGATTTTCATGATTAATTAGTAAATTAAAGTTATTGTATACACAGTAAAGTAACAGTTCTGTTGTTCTTTTAAAACATGATGACGATGAAAAGAATGGACATTGATTGTCCTTAGTCTTTACTTTATGTTATTAAATGCTCATTACTTAGCTGTAGCTTATCCCTGATTAAGATGCATCGTATATTTTACACTTCCATGTAGGCTATAATTTTTAAAAATAATACATGTATTTAAAAAAATCAGAAGTACTGCAAGCTACACCGCCATTGCTAAACAATGTAGCATGGCAACGAACCGGAAATCACCCTAAAAAACACAATAAAAAAATAGAAAATAAATGACGTCATTGATAAGTACCTTAAATCTATTTTCAAATCTCCACAACAACAAGAGGTATACAAACACCACCATGAACGCTGTAAGTTAAAATTTTTAGAATATAGATTTCAATTGTTATCATAAATTGAGCCCTCTTAGCTTAACTTTACTTTTGCAACTATGACTTTAGCAGACCGATCTTAATACGCCTGTTACTATTACTAGGTAGTAAGGGGTGGTATTTTATTTGAGTTTAGTTTAACTAGACTAGACCTAATAAACCTTCAGACTTCAGTCAGGCAGTAGTCGTAGACGATCAATTCAGTTAGTTTATGACTACCTAATTTAAATTTACTAGTTTATGAGATTTAATGAGTTTGAGATCGACTCTTAAGTCCGCATCTTTTGACTTGAGTATTGGGTATTACTTGAGACTTGAGATTCTTCTTACCTTAGACTTAGACACTTAAAAAAAACAAGACTTTTTTTTAGAGCAGTGGTCCCAAAACTCATTATTAAAAAGAGCCAAAAATTAGAAGCAGGACGATTAAAAAATTTGAGAGCCAAATTTTTTTTTCAAGAACTTGTCAAGAACCATGTTTCTCGGAGTCAAATCTGATTTGTGGCCGACTGACCGAGCCACACTCAGGTCCAGGTCGTTAAAGGGCTGCATGATTTGCCGACCACTGACTTAGTAGGGTATAATTTTAAATAATAGTATTAGGGATCATATTCTATACTACTCTTTTTTATAGTCACATTCGCATAGTGACATAGACCATGATGATTATGGACCATGGCCTTAGATCATGATAGATGGTACTATGAACATAGTTACTGGTATGAGTATGAGTATCGGTACGATGATAATGATACAGCTAGGGCTAGTGCTGGCAGGAGTGGACTACCTCCCCCCCCCCTCTCCCCTTCCTACGCCACTGTACACATATTTTTTTCTGAGTGGTTATTCAAAGTCGGTTGGGAATAATAATTGCTATCACTAGCATGATTACCGTATTTTACGAACTATAAGACTCATATAAAAATTGCCTCCAAAATTCAGGTGCGTCTTATACTCAAAATTAATATAAAAATGTCCTGTGTTTGATTTAAAATTTCCACCAGTCTTAAAAATGGCCATATATTCGACATATATCAAGTAATATTCGATCAACTGGCAGCAGCAGTGCACAGGTACGACAAACATGAGTTGCAAGGATTCACAATTTTGTTTTAGTTTTGCTTTGCAATCTAATAATAAAAATGCTAAAAATTTTATTTTTAAAATTTAAAAAAAAAAACTAAGATGCATCTTATAGTCCGTAAAATACGGTATACCATTTATTGAATTATTGGCTGGGAATAATGCTGATTGTTATACACAGTCGGCTGGGAATAACGCTGAGCGTAATTAGTAATACACAATTGGTTAGGAATAATGCTGAGAGTTATTACCATCTGTGTATAATATAATGGTCCCTTTATTTATAGGCCAAATAGGCCAATGCACTCTAACTTGCCATTAAAACATTTATATACATTTTATAAAATAAATTAATAGCACATTCATTATGATACAGACATAGATTATTGTAAAAAAAACATTAAATTATGAAATGATTTGATCTTTGACTTGAAGCTCTTCCTCCTATCAGTATTGTCTTTTTTAAGAAGGTTTAATTTAATTAGATAAAAATAGGAATTATTTTTATGCTTTTAATTTTCAGAGTATATAATTGAAAACCTCTCTTTTTTTCCCACAGCAAACACTTGTTTTTAAACAAGAACAAGGTAATGTTTTATGATCACTATTTATAAAATTTAAAATTTATTTTTTGCTTATTGAAATTTATATTAAATTTAAAACCACTTTTCAATTTGAAAGTGTCCCTTTTGTTTAATAAATAAATGTATTTTGATCTTTAAATTGCTTGTCACTAATTTTAATTTATAAAGAACAAAGAGCAGAGAGCTTGTAAATTCCCCATGTTTGAATCACCTTAGAAACTCAAGCTTAATGTTTATAAATATAACTTTATTTTTTTAAAATTCAAAAGTTTAAGAGCTCAGCTATTTTCTTTTACACACTTTAGTTAAAAAAGGCTACCTCTCGAGTTAAACATGTTCAATGTTTTGAACAGCCTGCTGAAGTTTAATTAAATGAGTAAAATATCATATCACTTTCAAAATTTTATAGTAAACATACAAAAAAATGAGTGAATGATAATCTTTTAGTATCCTTTTAATCTTTTAGTATTCTTTTAACTGTTTCATATATAATTTTTTCCAGCACATGAAGACAGTATTTGGAGTTGTTCCTTTGGGAAAAATGAACATGACCCCAGTGGTTCTGAAACAATTGTAACCGGATCAATTGATGACCATGTTAAAGTTTGGAAATGGTATTACTTATTTTCCTTAAGCTTGTTTATGTAAATTTAGCTTTAGGCTTTTGTCCTGTTAAAATGAAATATGGGTTGTAGTTATCATTCAATAATTATATTGTATATAAATTACAGTGCAATATATTTACTAATTGTAATAAAATTATTTTAGGCAAGATGACAAGTTGGAGCTCAAACATACACTGGAAGGTCATCAGCTTGGTGTTGTCTCAGTGGATATAAATGCTGATGGCTCATGTATCCTTGATTCATATTTTTTAAAAAATGTGATTCTCTGTGTACAATAAAAGATCAATCATCTTCCAGATGTTTAAATAAACATTCAATATTTCTTATAATAATGTAAATATAATGATGCACCACATACCTTAACAAACTCTAGTGGCAGCATCAAGCAGCTTGGATAGTCATGTAATGATATGGGATCTGGAAAGTGGAAAAATGGCCAAGAGCATTGATGCTGGACCTGGTAAGCCACATTACATGATGATAGAGGTGGTAATTCAGAGGCTGTTTGTAGCATTTCTTGACCCTAAGCAAAGATATCATAGTTACCCTTCAAAATAATAGGTAGAACATTCATAATTTAATGTTATATATTTTATTTATATAATATTTCAGTGGATGCATGGACGATAGCCTTCTCACCAGATTCTAGGTTTTTGGCATCAGGAAGTCATACAGGTTTAAATTTTATTATACCTTTATTTAGAAACCATATATTAGAGCAGCTACTGGTATAGTATTGTGGATTTTACTTGATTTATGACCCTTATTGAAAAAATACTGATTTTTGTACAAATTACAGAAATTATAATTAGCTTATTATGAAATAATCTTGAGAACACAAACAACAGACATGAGAAATTACCCCTTCTTCTTCTATATATTAAGGGCCCACGATCAATTTTTTGACCATTTTGGCTCCTATGCACGTAGAGGGGATTTGCAATGTTTCTGTGCCTGGTGTTGATGAGGATATTTCACTGATTGCAAGTGCCACTTTGTGAGGGAATCATGCACTGGGGGTTTGAAGGCTTGAGGCAATAGACGCAAATGTGTATAGAGTTGTCGCCTCAACTGTTCCTTTTGAAAGCTTGTTCCAGTCCCTGATTGTATTCGGCAGGAATGAGCAGCTCCTATACTGGCTTCTTGTTGGAATGAGCCTGCATTGCCTGTCAAGGCCTCGTCGCTGTCTCTGGGGGAGAGGGACGAGTTTCTGTTTAATACTGGAACAGTCGACTAGCCCATTATTTATCTTGTACATCATGGAGAGCCTGGATTGTCGTCGTCGTTCCTCCAATGGTGACCAGCCTAGTGTTTCCAGCATGCTGCCAACACTAGAGGTATTCTTGAGCGGTTCAGGACAAAGCGTGCTGCCCGTCGCTGGACCGCCTCCAACCTGTCAATGCTCTTCTGGGTAAATGGGTCTCAGACTGAAGATGCATAATCTAAAACCGGACGGACAAAGGCTTTATAGGCTCTTTCTTTCACACAGGAGTTGCCAATCTTTAGATTTCACCTTAAGAACCCCAGGGTCTTGTTTGCTTGGTTACATGCATTGTTAATATGCTCGTCCCAGCGGACCTCTCTTTGAATGGTAACACCCAGGTACTTTACGGAGGAAACTGGCTCAAGTATATGGCCGTGCAGTTCGTATTGGTAGTGTAGAGGAGTACAACTTCTAGAGACTGATAGTGTTTGGCACTTGGCAGGGTGAAATTCCATGTCACAGCTAGTCTCCCTCTCAGCCAATAGATTGAGATCCTGTTGTAGCTGGGCCTGGTCAGATCTGTTGGCGATCGTCTTATACACCGCCGTGTCATCTGCAAACAGTCTTGCTTATAGTCAATCATTATTTCATGATCACAAGTTACTATCACCAGAGTTTGATTTATCACATTTAGATCACATTTGATAAAATATGTTAAAAATATGTTAAATTGTTGATCCTCTCCAGTAAAATTATAGCATTGGTTAATTGCAAATAATAAAAAATCATTAATCATACTGTTAATAGTAATAAATATAAATGTTATCCTTATGCAGGAAAAATAAATCTCTTCGGTGTTGACAGTGGAAGGAAGGAGTCTTCTATGGACACAAGGGGAAAGTTTACACTCAGTCTTGCATATGTGAGTCATCTCAGACCTTAGATTTTGTTTTTTATTTCCCATAATGATAACTTATTTTTATCCACTTACTTCATTTCTTGTAACTAGCTTTTACTGAGAACTTATTTGAATTCTTTGAGAGAATTTATGTAACATTTACATATTGAAGTTTTTATTCCTAAAACGTTTGTTTTTAAAAAAAAAAAATTAAAACAACCTTTTGTGATTCAAGAAAGTACATTCAAGCTTCTCTTCAAAGATTTATTATTGAAAATGAAACCATCTTTGCTTTTGTGATAAACAAACACAATAGAAATTCAGGAAGACAGCCTAGAGTTGGCAACCTTTAGGTACTAGTGTGCCAAAGTTAAACTTCTAATTCATTCAGCATGCCAATTACTTATACTTATAATATAAGTATTTTCATTCATAATAATTTTCTTTGGCACTCCGAAGACCCAAAAAATTATTATAATTTTTTTGGGTCTTCCGAGTGCCAAAGAAAATTGCTATGTGTGCCAAGTCTGGCACACATGCCGAAGGTTGCCAACCCATGGCCTAGAGCTTAAAAGCAATGAATGTGGTAAACAATGTTAAGATAAATCTAATTCTTTTCCCTGCAGAGTCCTGATGGAAAGTTTATAGCCTCAGGTGCGCTTGATGGAATAGTCAATGTATTTGACATCACAACTGGAAAACTTATTCACACCTTAGAAGGTTTGTGTTACTGTGCTATTATCGTCAAGCTTTTTCCTATAATGATTTTTAGCTTTTAATCTCATTGTGAATACTAAATAGCTTTTCACTGTAACTTTAAGAATCTATCAGCTATGTATTTTTAACATTTATCACTTAAAGTATTGCTAACTCAAGCTAAATTTTTATCTATCCAATTTAAAACAATTTTGTGGGTTCAGAAATTGTTTGATTGAAAGTAAATTACAATTTTTTTAAATTTATCTGTAACTCTTTATTTAATGTTAAACAGATTAAAAAATATAACATTTTCTATTTATTTATTTATTTATTTAGGCATTTTTATATAGCGCTTACCATAAAGCTCTAAGCGCTTTACAATTATTAAAAACATGTAAACTAAGTAAAATAAAAATGAGACACTAGGATAGTAACTACTATACTATAGAAACAATGAAAATGGCTATAAAACGAGGACACTTTGACACGTTTTGGCCTATACTTCAGGATCAACCCGAAACAGAAAATTCTAGTGCACAAATAACAATCACATCTCAGATATTCTAAATGTCTTGCCTCAGGTATTCTAAACTCCTGTCCGTGCACTGCTGAACATATTATAGTACTCTTATTAATTATTCCCATGTGCTTATTAATTCCAGGACATGCCATGCCCATTAGGTCTCTCTGTTTCTCACCTGACAGTCAATTACTGATCACAGCTTCTGATGATTGTCAGATTAAAATATATGACGTGTAAGTTAATTTGCCAATGGAAAAATAAATATTCATGTAATAATTGATCTTTCACATTTTTAAAAATATACATTGTAAGTTCATCTCATTTTTTCACTTATTTTTAGTTTATCGATATAGTCTTAAATGCTTGTCTTTTTTTTCATACTTTAGACAACATGCCAATTTGGCAGGCACATTATCAGGTCATGGATCTTGGGTTCTAGGAGTGGACTTTTGTGCAGACAACACCCACTTTGTTTCAGGGTATATCATATTATATCATCTAAATGTATAATTTGCAAATATTTCATAGATAATAAAAACTTTGTAAAAAATGTTTAGTATACTTTAATATGAACATAATGAAATTATCTTTCTAAATAATAATTCATTCATCAAAAAACATCATCTTTCTAAATAATGATGTTTTTTCTCCTGCATAACTTAAGGATCTCTATCAGATTTAATAACTTTCTTTTCCTATATTTTTTTTATATTTAATGTGATTTTTCAAATTGTTATTGTTTTTAGTTTTTAAAATAAGTTCCCTTAAAAAAATTTTTAACTTAATTTTGTTTTATTCAATTAGGTCCTCCGACAAAACAGTTAAAATATGGAATGCAGGAACAAGACAGTGTATTCACACATTTTATGACCATACAGATCAGGTTTGTAGTTGTTCTGGCATTTCTGTAGCATCAAGTATGCAGAAAGAATCACAGAGTCATACAATTATACTTTATGATGAGGTAAACAAATATAGGGTGTCTGGTTACCATGGCTGGGCAGAAACAGCTATGATATAATTAAAGCGTTCAGGGAACTTGAAGATGCCTTGGTCAAAGCTGGTCTTGAGGTAAATGAAGCAAAGACAAAATATATGTTATGTCACGAAACACGCATACTGATGACAACAGCAATATAAACAACCAAACCTTTGAGTTTCTCAAATATCTAGGGGTGACTATAAATGAGCACAATTAAATAATGTAGGAGGTGAAAGAAAGGATAACAGTAGGCAAACATTCAAGGGGAACAAAGAAGGCAATATACACCACTGTCACTAGACCAGTTGTAACTATGCAAATGAGACTTGGTCCCTTACCAGAAAAGCAGAGAACCTGCTCAATACATGGGAGAGTAAAATCCTTGGAAAAATATATGGAGATATATCACTTGTACAAAGACCCACCCATAGTGACAACAATTTAAAAATGTAGACTGCGCTGGACTGGACACATTAAGAGGATGCCGAATGTAGAGAAGAACTTACACCAGCTGGGGATTCGTGCATGGAGGCGAAAAGCCATGGATCGATCCAAATGGAAGGACACGGTGGAACAGGCCAGGCCCTACTTGGGCTGTAGCACCACTTATGATGATGGTTACCATGGAGCATGCATATTTTTAACTGGTGCCTAATTTTCATGTTTTTCTTAGCTCATATTTGAAATCAGGGGAGCAAAAGAGCATATATATATATAAGCATATATGTTTATCCAAAGAACTCAAATAATTACCATACACAACTCTTAGACCATAGAGACAAAAGATAATTAAATTTTAGAGTATTATTTTTAAAATAATAGGCTTTTCAAATTTCAGTAATGGGATGTTTAAGTTTAATAGCATTAATTGTTATTTTGTTTATATATACCGTTAAAAACAAGATCATTGTGAAAAGGGCTAACAACTCAAAAATAACATTTCAAGACATAAAAATCTCCATAATTTTTTATGGACAAAGCAAATTTTGTACAGGCACATTTTTAAAATAAACTTGTTGAAACTGTGAAACTGAAAGAAAAAAATAATTACCCTGTGTCTATGAAGTTAAGTTACTTTGACTGATTTTTTCCCTGCCACCCCCACCCCCTCTCTTTTTCCAATAAAAAATCCTCAAAGAAAAACTTAGTGCCCTCCTCACACATTGTCACAAAATCAAGAACAAATTCTTAAACGCTGAGATATCTCATTTTATTCAGCTTTAAACAGTTTTTTAATGTTTTTTTTTAATGGACTTCCTAAAGTTCATATGGATTTTTATAGACTTGTCATTTTAGGACAACATTTTTCAGACACTCTGTAAATTTATGGCTATTTGGCTACCCTGATGGTGAATTACTTAAAGGACAAGCAAGTTATTGTAAAACTAATGAAAAATTTTTAATGACTATTTCTATACACATTTTTTTTTCAGGTTTGGGATGTGAAGTATAATCCTGCTGGCACAAAAGTTGTATCAGTTTCTGATGATAGGAACGTTCATGTGTATGACTGTCCAGTTTAAAAATTATATGGTTTATAAATTTATGTCACATCTGTAAAGATTTAACTTGAGAGAATGTGTATGGCACAAACAAATCTTTTTATTCTGTATTCATGAAGATTTTAATAAAATTAAGTTACCTTTTTATTGGTACTTGTTCTATAGATCATGGACATGTAGTAAGAGAGAGTCTGTAAGACTGTTGACTCATTGAATCTTGGTGTGGATGTTAATCTGGAATATTTTATTGTTGAACTCATGTAATAAATAAATTTAAAATATGAAGTTTGTGTCTGTTGACTCATTTTCTGAATTAGATCATTCTAAAATAACAGTAGATATTATTATTGTATATTATAATATTACTTATAATTCATTTAAGCAGGAAATCATACAAAAATAATAACAAACAAAAATGCTTTTAAAAGGAGGGAGAGTTTTTCCAAGAGGAGTGAGGTTCATTAAAATAGCAAGCAACTTGAACATATGAAGATATGCATTCACTTTGAAAATTTTAAGGTTTACGTGATACTAGTACCTGCATTTGTACGAGGACAAACTGTATTTTAATTTTTTACTCAGGGGATATAAATATTATGGGTTTATCCTAAATTTTATTTTAAAAGTCAACTTTAGCATAATACGCATGATTGACAACATCACCAATAAGGTGGTCCACGTGGATATTAGAAATTGATAAACAGCCACAAAACACAATCAATAAATGTCAACAGAAAAATATAAACATATTAAATTAAAATTTGAACACCAACAAAAAAATGTATTAATTAAATGAGAATCAGGCTAGCATACATCATTTCATAATTCTCCTCTGAAGCAGCTTAAAAGTGGATTCAAAGCAGACTTAGAGTTAGACAAATGAGAATGACTTGCAAGTAAAATTCCCATGCCCATTCTATGATTCATTTGGAATGTTATGATTACAGAACTCTAAGTACTTAACTATATAATATATTGTACAGTATGTTTTGTTACAAAATAAATAAATACATAATCACAATGAAACTTAAGTTAAAATACATTTTTTTTAATAAGCTCATTCACGACAATGACCATTCATGTCATTAATTAAGAATTAAATTAAGATGTATTGAAATGAAAATTTTTTCAAGGTTTATTTTTTATTTAATAATGGTAGCATATTGTTAAATTGACAGCTTATAATGCGGAAATAGGGTTATATTTCTGCTAATTATTTACGAGATAAAGCCATAACAAACTTAATAAGAACATTTTTTTACGTACACATTTCTAAGGGTTGGGTGGGTAGAAAAAGTCCATAATAAGTTAGTTACACATTTTTCAAAAATGAGTTAAGACCGGCATTATATTTGATTACTTCCCCTGCATCATTCCTTTCAATAACATTCATGGAAAAATGTTAAGGATTTAGAAATACCTCCCAAAGTTTAGAAGGCATTTCGATATGACTTAAATACCTTTAAGATAATTTATCTCAAAACTGCAAAAATACGAGTATTTTTTTCTCCTCGGCCGTTCTTGTTCATTATGAATAATTTAAATATATTTTGAACCGTAAACTACTTTTTAATGACTTTTTTTTTTTAGATGTAAGAACAGTTTTGTTTACAAATGGCGGCTTAGTGACTCCTACAAGACGTGCTTTGGCCGTTGTTGCGTGTAATAGATTTTCTTAGTAAAGTGAATACAAATTTGAGATTAAAATTTAAAAGGCACCTGTATACTATTACCGGTATACTATTACCGGTACCCTTATTACCCCTAATACTCTATTACAATGCTGTATTAATTCCGAAAATCTCAAAATCCCCCTGTGGCAATCGGCAATAGTCTATTCTTTTGAAATTGATTGTAATAGGACAGACATTACCCAGACATACTTATAATAATGGAATTTTAATGGACATGCGATTTCCGTGATTATCAGAATTAGACTATGACTAAGTCACTAACATTAATTATTAATTTATTAATGAAATAAACGAATTACTAGCATAAATAAAAGAGGCTAATGCATAGAGTATAGAGATGTGGCCAAAGGACATTGGACCAAAACCCCAGAGGAAAATGGCTCAAAAGCAGACATTGACATAGGTTTAGATGGATGGATGATGTGGAGAAAGATCTACAGCAGCTGGGAATCCAAGCATGGAAAAGAAATGCATTAGTTAGGTCTGAGTTGAAGGAAGTAGTGATGCAGGCCAAAGCCTTATATGGGTTTGTAGTGCTACAGGGATGGATAGAAATGTATTCAATGTCTGAAATTTTCAGTGAGATATTAATATATTTGATTTAGATCCAAGTTTGAAAGATCCCATTGACTGTAGTTAGGGTAATAAGCGTTAGTTTAAGTTAACGTAACTAGTAAGTTAAAGTAACTAGAGTGCGTAGAATCAGTTATGAAATCGGTTATGGTTTGAACTGCAGTGATTTCAACCTTTTACCAAAAGGAGTTACCATTAACTTTAGTAAAAATTATTGCCACCATCTCTTTTCTTATTCAATGAAGGCGTAACATGTAAGATTTATTTAAAATAAGTCCCTGGTTGAAAACCACTGCCCTAGCTCTAAGATGTCAAAATGGGCACTGTAATACATTGTCAAATATTTTTGGATCAGTTTAATAGCTTACCAGTGACCTTTAATTAATCATGGAGGGTGATGATATTGAAGAGGAAATTGCTCCTGTAGTCCCAGTAGTAGAAATATCAACTCATGGACAGCATAGAGAAGCTTGGGGCCCCAGAAATGACAAGTAAGTTTGAGTATTTTTGGCCATTAATTAATTTTCTTATTAAACTAAACTAATACATTTTTCATTAGGAAATAATTTTATCTAACCGATGTAAATTTCTGATGATCTGTAGTATTAAATTTTCTAGAGATATTGTAATACCAATATTCTAGTACCGGTAGTAATTATAATATTATCTTACTATATAATATAATACAATAATCAACCTGCTCGGGTAAAGTAGTCCCTCCTTGTTTCCAGTTTGCTCATATTCCTCGATGTATATTGGCTTGTATTGTCCATTGACTTGTATGTAGATTTTGAATTGTTGCGTTTTGTATTTTAATGTGGAAAAATGTAAATTGTCATATATGGTTGACTTTGTACCACTCTTGGAGCCTTAATTAGGAATGAAGCATGTTTTTGAAATGGACTTATTATATTATTAATATTATTATTATTATTAATATGTTAAATATGTACTTATTGATAGAAATAATCGTAACAAAAACAAGCTAGATATTTTTAAGATGTATTTTTCTTCTAGCCATCATAATGATGATCTGGACAGTGATATTTATGATGATGATGATGATGACAGCAATGATGAAAATCAGCCATCTCCCACAAGATCTACAACCCATCCTCCGCCACACTACAAATCTATCAATGGAAAAATGAAAGTTGACATGACCCCACCCGATCAGAAATTAAAACAATCTGAAGACTTGGCTAAAAAATTTGCATCAGGTGGCAAAGTTAGTTGCCTAAATATTAATGTAATTAATAAGCAGTCTGCCAGGACCAGATTTTTCAATTGAAGTGTTTTAGCTTTATCAGCAAAATCATTTCAGTTTAAATGAAATTTTGTTATAGTAATTTCTATTTAGACCTGTTATCCTTAACCAAATCTTGGAATTGACATAATAGACATTTTTTTCATACTAGCTTTCCCACATTAGACTTTCAAATGGATATTTAAAAGAAAATATTTTTGGAAATTTATTATTGGCATTGTTTGACAAGTTTTATTTTTCGCTTATTCAGGCTGATAAAGCAATTGAAGAACTTATCAAGTGTGTTGCTTACTCCAGAATAGTTCATGGGGCTTCACACTGGAGACATGCACAGTGTGTCACCAATCTGGGGGAGGGTTATCTAAAACTAAAAGGTAAAAATATGAACTTGAAGTGAACATTTAGATTAATTTTAAAACAATGAAGTAATTAGACTGTAGTTGATTTTTATTTGTATATATTTAGGATACTATGTGCAAGCAGAGTACCACGCTGATACAGCACGCTCCATCATGCTCCATGGCAGTCACATGGCTGCTTCTATGGAGGAGAAATCTACTTTATTTGCCGTCCTTATACAAATCTACAGAATAATGGGGCAGGCAGCTACAGCTCTCAAAAAGTAACTCTCATTTAAATAGTTCTTTCTCAAAGAATTAAATGACAAAAATATTCTTGTACTCTTTTGATATCAACATTACATTCCCTGAAACTTGAATTGATATGATTCACCAGTTGTTCACGAAGTATCACATTAAGTGTGTCTTTTTTAGCATTGTAATTTTTCACAATATTTTTTAAAGTCTATATTGTAGTAGATAAATGTTAATACTCTATTTATGGGCAATATTCTTCAAGAAATTTTTTTGTATCTTACTCTTTTATATTCTTTTTCAGATTTCCTGAGGCTGAACAAGCTCTTAAGAAAGCTGATAAAATCTCACAAGAGCGAAGCAAACTGCCATGTGTCACAGATAGGGAATGTGACCTGTTGGATATTGAACTTTTTCAATCAATGGCAAGGTATTGGCATTATTTTATTTAATCTTAACATATCTTGCATAATCCTGAATGGATTCTTTTTTTAAAGATGTTCTAAAATTGAGGCTAAAAGTTGAAAATGATAAAACAGAAAAATTATCTTAGATCTAAACTCTTTAAAAATGGTGCATTTGGATTGGGCATTGCATATACTCCTATTTTTTTAAAATTTGTAATATATCTTATTTGCATAATTAATTTTATTGTTAAAAAATTGCTCACAATTTTATTTGAAACAACCTGGTTTCATCTTATCTGCTGTCCTCAGATTATATGCCAAGGAGAAAAAACATGCTTTGGCTAGTGAGAAATATGACAAGGTTATAGAACTAATGACCAAAGAGTTTGGAACTGACTGCCCACAAGTCATGCAAGCAAACACTGAATATGGCAAGGTTAAGGATATTCACATTTTGTTTTTGGTACTGTTTTAAAGTAGACTTTTGTTTTCTTAATATTCTTTTCTGCAGTGATGCACAGTGGCATTGGTAGAGTTAGTGCTGCCTGGGGCAGGTCAAAATTTTTGCTGCCACCTCCTTTCCACAAAAAACTCTTCAGCTGCCCCTCCAAAGTTAAAAGAAAGTGCCATCCTCCAGGCGGACCATCTACTTCCTATGCCCCTGGTTCTGAATACTGGTTTCGCCTAAATTTTGAAATATATTATTTTATAAATATGTGATAAGAACTTCTTTTTTATATGTTTAAAACATATTAATAATTATGCATGTTTCTTCCTAATTCTTTTATTGGGCAATGAAAATTTATTTCAGCTTGAGCAGTCCAAGGGTAAATATGCTAATCATGATAAAACAATACAACTTTTCCTGGAAGCTCACTCAATAGCTTCAGCTATGTAAGTTAGTTATTCTATACCCAATGTTCCTTGTCACATTGTTTGAGTTTTAAAATGATTTATTCTTTTCTTTTAAATCATATTTTTGCTTTATTTGTAAATATTGGATACACATTAAAAAGAAATTTTGAGTCAATTTTATTTTATTTTTTAAGATTTATATTCATTATACTTGCTTAATCCTATCAATGACAAAACACACAGAGTGTTAAGTGATCATATGGGAAGAAGTAATATAGCATTTTTTAAAAACACAATGACAATACTTCATTAACAATATTATGTGTCTGGTTGATCTAGATGTCTTAGTAACTCTCAATGATTGTTTAAAAAAATGTTCTTTAATTAATTAGCAATTTTTCTATTTATCTGCCATAAAAAATATTTTAAAAATTGGTATAGATATTTTGAAATAATTTTTCAACAGACACAAAGAAGGGCACCCAGACTTGATTGATACAGCTCTTAATCTCTCACAAGCTTATGCTGGGACAGGTTGGGAAGATGCTGAAGGTAGAGGGTTTCCCCACCAAAATATTGAAAACATTTAACTTTAACGTGTTGTGCTGAAGTTTATTTCCTGAATAAAAGTTTTAAGTGTTTTCTATACATTTTGATTACCGGTACTTGAAGTAGTTTTTTTTTCTTTTAAGTCTTATCATATCTCACAGTTTAGCATTAAAAGAAGTGTCAATAAGTCAATATTCCATCTTGGTTACTTTGGTATTCTTGCATATTTATTACTTTATACTTCAGAAATAGAAAGATAATATTACAATACTGTAAAAAAAAAAAAACCACTAATTTTGTCTTGAGAAGGAAAATTTTTAAAGCATAAATGTTAAATAATGAATACTTTTTCAGGTTCTGCTTTGAGTTACATGGAAGAATGTTTGAGGTCATGTACCACAATTTATGGACCTAATCATGCCAAAACTTTGGAAGTACAGGACCACCTGGCAAAAATGCTAATAAGAATGGACAAAATGACTGTATGTATACTTAGTTAATCAATTTTAGGCTTAGGCCAGTGTCCCCTTGCAGTCAGCAAATCTAAATGATCACTAATTTATTTATTTATTTTATTTATTTAGGCATTTTTATATAGCGCTTACCTTAAAGCTCTAAGCGCTTTACAATTATTAAAAACATGTAAACTAACTAAAATAAAAATGAGACATTAGGATAGTAACTACTATACTATAGAAACAATTAAAATGGCTATAAAACGAGGACACTTTGGCACGTTTTGGCCTATAATTAAGTCATTATTGTCAAGAAATGAGTTAAGTGATGGCTGATTTCTACGCTAGAGAAATAATTTAGAAATATTGTGTTTAAAAAATTGTAGTTGTAAAAATTGTAGTTGTAATTATTGTTACAAGTTGTCCTGGGCAAAATATATACTTATTTATGTGCTGAAAATGAACATGTAAAATGTAATAAAAAAACTATTTCCATTTATTTGGGTTTATAAAAGGAACTTACCTTTTAACCCACAGTTGGGCAATTTGAAGATTATGGGGGACATTTTGTATTTATGTTTCAAAAAAAGAATGGGGGCAATATTAGCCAGGAAACTTATTGAAGTTATCCACTGTTATTGTTTGACATTTGTTGCAATACAAATATATTTCAGTTATTCTAGACACCAAAAGTTGGTGAAACTGAAATTCAATATTTCTGACAGCAGCATAGAAACACCCCCCCCCCCCACACACACACACACACTTTTTTAAAAGAGCTTTTCCACTTAATGAGGAAGGGAAGTTGGGACATAAATCTTTTTTGGGTTCTCAGTTGCGACACCAGGCAAAAGAGGTTGGGAACACTTGCCTACGCATATATTATAATAAAAATTTTTTTTTTTCAAACCTAATTATTATTGTTAGACATTTTCGCTCAGGTGCCATCCATCAATGACATCACACAATATTTGCAAATTTTTGACCACCCCCCCCCCCCAATTTCATAACAAATCATCTCATAAAGTGAAAACACCCTCCAATATAACATCACAAAACTCTGTACCCCTATAAAACAGGGGTGAAAGCAGAAGACTCAGAAAATAAATTTCATTTGCTGCCATTGCTAGTTGTTCCTGCCATTAAAAATAAAATAAGTTTTTATGCATTTTGAATAGCAGCAGTAAATGTTTTATCTGGTGAATTTTTTTTTGCGCATTACTTGTGGTGGTAATTCTTTTTCTTTTCTTGCATCTAGAAAGTTAATTAAACAACACAAAATAATTTATTAATTTTTTTTTATTTTTAAAAAAATATTCATTTTGGTTTATTGGGGTGGGGGGTTCCTTGGAAATTTTTCCCCCCCCCCCCCCCCCATTTCCGTTCCATCTCGCTTCCCGTGGTAGCCCCAATTCTATGATCGCTGTCTTCACATTATTTTGACATAAATTCATATGACTCAAATTCACTACATCCCCATTATCCTTCTCTGTGACGTCCTGTATCTTGATCAGATACCATTTCTCGGACCTATGATATAAGTACTGATCCAGTCAGTGATCGTAGTTTGAAATTAAAATAATTATAATTATTGTATAAAGGAATAATATTGAAAGGTCTTTAATTTAGTGTTATTAAGTGAATTTTTTTACTATACTGTTCCGCTGTCAATGTGATGTCACAATGCTTTAACCCTTCTTCCCCTCATCTCACAATGTCTCCAAAAAAATGTGACAGCCCCCCCAATGCGTGTCATCATTTATGGATGGCCCCTTAAATTATTTCCATGATTTAAATAAGGTTTATACCAGAAATGTGCAAAATTTGACTGAGGACAGTCTTAGGAGGGTGCTAGTGGTGGGGTGGAGGCTCAAGTCCGAGGGGACAACAGGACTGAAAAGGGGAGGTCGTTCAAAGGAACTTTAGAGCAAGAAATATTTATTTAAATAAAATACACAATTATATTAGATAAACACAGCTAAAATATGTGCTTGTAGAAAAGTTGATGCAGCACATATAAGGCTTGAATTTAAATAAAAGCAGGTTAGTAGGGAGATTATTTTTTTCTGTTACGGTACAGAGTAAGAATTTAGAATGTCTTAGGACTATGCCTTACGCAAATTAATTATATTTCAGTTTTCAATTAATTTACACAAAATCCTGTTTCAGGAAGGTCTACAGATTCTGCAGTCTAGTTTACAAAATAAGTGTGAAATATTTGGAGATTATTCAGAACCTGTAGCAGATACTTACAAGTTAATGGGAAGTGTTCACTTATCTGAAGGAAATATTGAAAAAGCCTTACGTACTTATAAAAAGGTAAAATAATAATTTTTAAAAAAATGATAATAAATATTTTTGTAAATTGATAAATAGGGCTACAAAATTTTTTTACTCTTTAACCAAACAATGCCCTTTTACTAATGAACACCAAAAAGAAGTCAGAAATAATACCATTATTATTAGTCTTATCAAAGTCTTTTATTTTTACAATTTATGATGATTTGTTGTGAAGTTTTTTTGATTAATTAGTTTTATTAGTTTTGACCACATCAAAGTTAATGAACCTCTCCTTGCAGTGCTACACCATTGAAGCTTTATTACTGGGTAAGAACCACAGAAAAACAAAGGACACGCTGAGAACTATGGAACTGTTATTAGCGTGAGTAGTACTAGCCATCATGTAATTATTTTCATACAGTTTTTAATGATTGCTGTAACAAAATGTTCTAGATTTACATTAACATTCCCCCCCCCTCCACCCCCTAAATGCTTTATTTAAATTATTGAAAAAATAATGATTTTTTTAACTATCTCTTTTACAGAAATCCTGGTGTGTCCCACAAGTTTGTTCTCAATAAGGAGGATAAGTTGCTTAAGAGACCACGTTTTAATAATGTGGTTGGAAGAACAAAGTAGAATAATAGAGTTAAATTTATCATTTTGCACAAGTTGTTTGTTGTATAAATGTAAACATTTATTTTGTTTAAAGGTTTACATTTCTCCAAATTTATACATGTGATGATAAAAATGAGTTGATATAATGTAATATCATTTAATTTTGATTTAGCATTTAATTAACATAGTAGATAACACACTGTAAATATTGTCACTAAGAAGACTATTAATTTGAATTTGTATTTTTTATTAGATATTATTACATTGATTCTAATTTAAGAAAAATTTAGGACACAAGAAAAGTTATTACCTAAAAAAAATTATTGTATACATTTCTTAAGATTTAAAATAGATATTTTTGTTTTGAATTGAGGGCTTTGTCAAAGAAAATGAGCCAAAAAAGCAATGTTTAAAATACATGACAAAAATAATTTATTTCTTTATTTTAAGAATAATATATGAGGGACTGCATTCAAGCCATGTAAATAAATAGTGGAATAAGGCATTTTTAGGCTTAAAAAGAAAATGATAGGACAATTAGAAAGACGTTTTGGCTAAATGCCTTCTTGTAGCAGACAATACCAAACAAGAAACAACAAATATTTAAATAACAAAAACATATGTGTTCAAAGATCTCAATGTAGCTTTTGTTTAGAAACGAATACAATAAAATTCCAAATTTTAAATTGTTTTGATAAAATTGCATGTAATACATAACTGATGTTGTATTGATCTGCTTGTTCAGTGAGATAGTCAGCGTGTTTCCAAGACTGTGAAGAAATCTACTGAATGCACTATTCTAGATAGCCTGATAGGGGGATGTAATTATTTACATTTCTTACATCTCCTTCCTGTTCACATCTTGTTCACATTTTTTCACCTACCTGTAGACTGGGTTGGTTGGATCTTGCCTGAAGTTGTTCTCACACTACATGGCATTATAGGGCTTGGTGACAAAACATTTTTTCCCATTTGCATTAGAAATGTTTCATCTGTATGAAGATCATGATTTATGGCAACACCACATAGATCATTATCATCATGAATCATTCCATTATAAACCAAAATATAACTTTAATCATCACATAAGTAGATCTGTTCGTTTATCCATGTCATATTATATTTCTTAATGTAATTTTTAAAATAATATACAAAAATTAAAGTATACATTCGAAAATTGTGTAAAAAAAATAAAAACAAAAAAAAAGAATGATGTTTTATTTAGTTTTGAGTGCTTATGGAAAGAGAAAGTAAGAAAACCCACTGACACTGGTAAATATTCAGCCTAAATAGCTTGTTAAAAAAAATAACCCAATTAATCCTTGTGACGGTATCGTTACACAGAAGTGGATTTGTGTTTGGAACTGTCTGCTTTTCACCTATAGTAAAACAGAGGAGAAACTTTCTCTATTTAAAATTGAGATGAATTGGTCAGATAATTCAGATGAATTGGTCAGATAATTCAGATGAATTGGTCAGATAATTCAGATGAATCTGTCAGATAATTCAGATGAATTGGTCAGATAGGTTAGATGAATGAGTCAGATAATTCAGATGAATTGGTCAGATAATTCAGATGAATTGGTCAGATAATTCAGATGAATTGGTCAGATAATCAAGATGAATTGGTCAGATAATTCCGATGAATTGGTCAGATAGGTTAGATGAATGAGTCAGATAATTCAGATGAATTGGTCCCAGATTGACAAGCTCAAAATAAATCCCTACAATTGTAAGATGGCATTCACTTGAAATTTAATTTATTTGGTGTAGATTTTTGGAGAAATGTAATGTGCTCCAGAAGTTAATTTTCGTGTTAGCTATTCGTTAGTAATGTCGCCATGCAACAAAACCCGGAGAATCCCCTCTAATGTGCAAGTCTAACAGGTTTGGGCCTAGATGTTTTAATTAAGAAAATTTAGGTGAAAACAAAAACAAAACAAAAAAATAAGGGGGAAAAAAAAGGTTGACCGGCATCTAAGAAGCTAACAGTTGTGTTGATAAGCTCCCCTTATCATCAACGTTCTCTGAACCAAAAGCCTTTACACCACTCGATGATTATTGGCACCCATGCCCTCCCTACACTTGACGAGATGACTTCCTTACACGGTGGTGGTCTCGGTGGTGGTCTCATGAAAGGTTTATCAGAGGCTTAAGCCCTGGTCCCAAGCGTTCTCACACCAAATCAAAACAGAGAATGGCATAATTGATGAAATGTGGAATTTTTTTTTTTCTATTTTGAAAACAAAAACTTCTTGCTTGTGTCGTAAGAATAACATTTTTAGAAGTGTCGTCGTGCATAAGGTGAGACACAAAATTTAAACATAATCTAAAGACAAAGTTATAATTATGTTTGTTGATATTCTATACCTGTTATAATACACCCCATCGACCTTTAACTCACCTGGCATGCAAGTTACATTTTGCACACTCACTATTTAGGACCTCTAAAGAAGAAACGCCCATTTAAAAAAAAAAAAAACTGTGGTCCCCACCCTTCCCAATCACCTATTTAATTTCTTTCTAAATTCTAAGGTAAACTTTCAAAAAATATCCTTTATACTACCAGGCCTCCAAAACATACGGCCCGCCAGCACCCACTTTGCGGCCTGCGAAGTAATGAAATATTTATTATTATTATTTTTTTATTTGGCTTATTTGTTTATTTGACACACACAAACATTAAGCAACGCATTCAAACCCAACGGCATGACATTATGCATTAGGCGCTCAACTACAACCCATCCCACACAAGACCCCCTCGTTTCCAAATAGATTTTACATGTCATGACAATTTTTTTTTTAGCCCCTAACTATTTCATGAAGACTTTTTCAAATCACCCCCCCCCCCCCCCGGCCCCCTTTTCCAGGCGAAGTCATTTGAGTCTCCATTAACTAATATATCACCACGTGTTGGCACAGGCGTATCGTGGTTGGGATGGGTGGTGGGGCGGGTGCATGCCATGGCGCAGGATGGTCCAAAAGAACAACGTGTTATACCCCCCCCCCCATCCAAAAAACATACCCCAAAAAAAATGTCAGTGTTTGCCATAGCGGCCAATTAACAACGCTACGCCCCTGTGTGTGACGAGTCACCTGAAGTCACATTGTAGAGCGCGTGTGTCACCTCCTCCCTACTAAACTATTTGGACTCCCTGCCCAAATGTTTTCACTCCAATTTTCCCCTCTGACTAGTTCCCAGACTGAAAAGACCGGTCCGGCGGTAAACAAGTTATGTCCCTTACCTGTTGTCAACCTAATTTAAACAAGTTATGTCCCTTATCTGTTGTCACCCTGATTTGTGGTTCTTTGCTTTAATGATTAGTTTTGAATTGCCTTCAGTCTGGATTTATTCTTCAATCAAATTTATCGAAATAAACGTGTGTATGATATGACCTTATATCTCTATGGACGCGTTCAGAGTTTAGTTCGTATGTTCAAAGTTATTTTAAAACTTTAGTTTATTCCTATTGCAAATTATAAGGTGTTGTTGTTATCCTTTCAATTATGGCACTAGCGTTTGAAAACTACGGTAAGTCAAAGTTTTCTTTAAAATTTATTTAAAATGATCTTTCATCCCCTAGTTTTGAATCTGTTTACATTATTAATTTATTTAAGACTATTTGACCTAAACTCCGTTTGGATTTGTCATGACATGTGATATTTTCGGAAAATTAGATTTATGAAAGTGAAAAGGCTGCTGCCTACTGTATGCGATCACTCACTGACAATAACATTTTTTTTTAATAACAACAACAAAAAATAAGAAGAAGAAGAATAAAGTGTTTGGGGTATGTCCCTTACCTGTTGTCAACCTAATTTAAACAACACGACACTGTGTTCAATTTTTTTTCTAAGAGGAAAATTAGAGGCATAAAGATACTGGTTAAATGTTTAAAAAAAATTCTTTTATTGTTTTTAAGTATCCCAATTTTTGACACTCTTTCATTGACCTTACAAAATTAATGAATTAATGAATGTCCTTTTTTTTCTTACTTGCAGATGCCTGGGTTCTGTCCCCTTACTGCTTCTGTCCGAACAAAAATTGGCGTAAGTAAAATCATTTATGGATCAAGTCAAGCAAATGTAGAATTAGAGAAAACTATGAAGAAAAAACAACAGCATAGTAACTCATTTATTTTTCAGGAAGCTCCGTTATAAACCTTACTAAGCGAACACAACTTTAAAAAAATATTTTTATTCTGATAAAAACCAAACCTGACATGACCATTTTTTTTTTCGAGGCGCAAAATCTCCATACCATTCACAAAAATTTCATTTTAAGGTCATCATTTCTAAGTGCATACGTTAAGCATTATTTATGAAAAACTAAAGGACGAAAAGAGAAAGGAAAAGGGGTGAACAGAAAGCATTATTATTATTCTTTTAATAAAATTTTAAGAACAGATAGATAACGAAAAGATGTCTGGTCATCGGTGATACGGTAAAATCACGCGGTTTATTTATACAAGCAGGTGCGTGGCAAGCAACGACCAAAGCTACGCCCGGGGCAAAGTCTCAATCTGGGCGCTCTAAATCCCCCAAATAATAATCGATATACTGTACCGGTACACATATTTTTCATGACAATTTACAATGTTAGTGCCTTCTAAAGATGGTGGCCGGGTTTGTGCCATTTTTTATCGCACGACACTGTGAACAACTTAATATAAGCAGTGCGTGAATAGACCTAACTCCCCAATAATTATACCCAACACCAGTTATCTCACAGTCAATGACAGTGTCTTTTCTCATGACTTATTTCCACACGATCCTCTACACTCTAAAAGTTTCGGTGGAAGGACTCAGCTACATTGACGGCCCCGTCATAACACAACTGGAAGGTGACGGCATGGCAGCTCTCCCAGGTTTGAGCAGACACGAAACGGCACTACTGGCTGCTCTGCTCATGGCCCTGGCTGTATTCCTGTTTCTCCTTTACCTCCTCGTCTGCTGTTTGTGTCCGTTCGGCCTGTGCTGTGGAAAGAATGGGTGGTGCTGCTCCAAGACTGGACACAGTAAAAATGCGTAAGCCAAAAAGAGCATAAAAAGGGGTGGGGGTGGAGGGTAAATAAATTTTAAGGGAAAAAAAAGCATATTCCAAATTTGTGTAAAGAATAAAGTGTGTAACTAATATTTTTATCTATTCAAATTTTAGGAAAGTGTCCTCTGGCAAGGGCAGCTCTGCTGTAAACCTCACAGCTGTGTAAGTTTTAATGGTTAACTTCAGTTTCCATCAGATACCAGAGTGTACACCTTACGTCATGATTATTTCCGCTATGCATTAATGTACATTGTGCATTGTGCAGATGTAAATGACGTCAGTGAGCCATCGAGCTTAAGCATCAAGCTCTAAATCCCCTCCACCCCTCCCCCCCCCCCCCCCCCCCAAAACCCCAGACCTGAAAACTCACCTTATCTCTCGAGCCGCGAAGCGGTTCGTTAGAGATCACCTCCTGCTAGGACAGCCCCCGCCCCTAACTTCACTCGACTGATTAGCTTTACGGAGGCCATCTCAACCTAAGGATATCCGGTCAGCCGGTGAGGTTGCTCTCCAAACATCAGCAGTCCCATTTCTCCGTGGTCGGTGTTGTATATTTACGTCCTAATATCTCCCACCCCACGCTCATCTCGGGGAAGCGTCGCCCTCTAACAGAGGTTTTTTTGTTTTTTTTACAGCTGGTTTCTACTTCGCATATAGTTCACGTAGTAGCTGGGACAAAACGGTTGACTAGAAACAGCCTCCTCCCTCAATGGATGTGTATATAGATGTGCATAAAAGAATGGAGATATTTAAGAAGAATGATTAAATCAAGGATGTCGCTCTCATCTCCCCCATCCCTCATTTAAAATCCCCTTCTCTCAAAAATTTATGAACAAATTTCATGTAGATACCGTAGTACTCATCGAATATGAACATAATATATATATATATATATATATATATATATATATATATATATATATAATATATATATATAATAAACTGTTTTGTTATATCATTAAACTGTTGTGTTCCACAGAGATATGAAGATACCAAGACCTTGGATGGACGGCTACTCTGGGTAAGACGAAAAAGGAGACTTTAAAAAACAAACAACTGAAAAATAAATTTGTAAGATACATTCTACCCTCTTTATCAAAGATCAGCTCGATTTGGACGAATTCTTTCTCTTAAACTTAAAGTTAGGACCGAAAGATATCAAAGTTCATTTGTTCCTCAGTCTGCACGAATTTACCAGCGTGATGCCCCAGCAGTTACCAAATCTTTTTTTATTTTTTTATTTGTTAACTTTTCAGATACTCGGACTCGGAGTTAGAAAAAACTAAACGCTCCACGGATTTGACGAGATGGGATGATGACGAAAACCTGTGGGGTAGAGGCAGTGAGTATTAGTTATTGGTGCATGAAACAAGGCAGATATTGAGATAGATTTTGTTGGTGGCGTGAAATGGCATTTCTATTTAGTGATAGCCCCCCCCCCCCCCAAACACCCCCACTCTTCAACTAGATTAAAGTGAGGAAAGATTAAAAGTACCGGTACCCGCAGAAATGGATGACAAGTATTTTAAGCAATGGTTTACAACATATTCCAACACTATCCATTATCCACTCTAGTTTATGTATTTCTAGAGCTGTGACTCAAATTCCCCATTAAATTGATTTGGTCTACAAACCCCTGTGTGTGCAAATGTATACCAACAAATATAGTGTGCAGTTTGTATGATTTTTTTCCCTCAATAAATTTATCCCGAAGGTACTCGAGGTTTCAGCAACAGTGCATTCCAGGGCGATAACTTAAAAAATGGAGGCTGGTTCTCAACATCAGACTTGGACAGTGTTTATGGTGTGGGGAGAGACAGAAGTGTTCGATCTAAGCAGGCTTGGATGGGCACAAGGAGTGGAGACAAGGGAAGGCAATTCATTTCAATGGGTGGATACTACCGTAAGTTATTTTTATTTATAGTTAGCGAGCATATTTTAAAACAGTATGACCAGCGAACTATAAATTATTAGATCAAGACATAGATACATTTGACTTGATATTCTTATGAAAACGAGAATTTGGTTAACTTTAGAAAATGGAAGATTATCAAGGTATTGGCATTTTTTATCCGGATATTGGAATTGTTAAGAAATTAAACTGTATCGGGTAGCTGAGGAAAGTTGTCCTAATTTTTCACACTACCCACACAAAAACCTCATACATTATATTTGTATAAAGGCAATGATGGAAAAGTTTTATTGAGTAAAAATCTAACAGCTAAAACATTATTTGAAGGCAGAAACAAAATGTCAAAGCGTAAAGAGCATTCGTGCTTTATATTTTAAAACTTAAAACAATTTAATCAACAAGATTTACCAATAACATTGAACTGAGAATTGAGATAATATAAAATATAATGAAATCACAAACCTTTACCCCCTCAGTTAGCTCAGCCAACAAGAAGGATTATGGGAATGTGAATTCTTCAGTGAGAAGGCGAAGGAGCTTCAGTGACTTTATAGATCAGGTGATGAGCCCTTACAGCACAGATGACACCAGAAACGCCAGAGACAATCATTCTGGCAACTATGGAGACTCTGTTCACAGACACGCAGAGATTTACAGCGTCGTGGGGCCAGGTGGGCTTCAGAAGGAAGACAGGGGTCAAGTTATAGAGACATCGACCTACAATAAACGGGAGGCCGTAAGGTCACTGGCTCAACCTGTTTCCATAGCTGGCAATGGTATGTAATTTAATTAGTGTAGAGGCTTGAGCATGCCATTCATACAATACATACTAATTCATAGTGCAAATTAACCTTAAAATTTTTAAAAATATAAAATTAAAATAATGAACAAATCTTTATCAAGACCAAAATTCTACTCCTATGAATGCCATCACTGAGATATCATTGGGCAACACCACAAGAGATTCGGACCCTGCGGGCACCCTGGTGGTCTACAATGGTGACAGCGGCAAGCCCGATGGCTATGCCCACAGCTATAAGACTACAAGCATGACCAGCGTTGACAACGGCAGTGACGGAAGTATGGAGAGGAACTTTCATAGGTAAACAGAAAGACACATGATGATGTCTGGGTCACAGCAACTAAATATAAATATCTCCTACAAGTGAGGGAGGCAAGGGAAAATAAATGATGTGTGCATGTGGGCGGGGGCAGCAAACAGAGCAAAACATACTATGATATAACTCTGCCAAATGTAAAAATAAAATTCTTTAAATAATTTTGAGAACAATCTAAAGAAGACTCTGTAGCCTTGTAAGCCAGCTACACCAGGGCAGAACCTTCAAGTTGATTCACTTTCACTAGGGCATTTTTTTTTTTATTACTTCAAAATATTCTCATTAAAATTTATGTGTCTTACAGAGACAGCGCTTACCCCCAACACAACTTGATCACAGAGATAACGTCTTCATACAAGAAGCGAGTCATTGAAGAGACAGAGACAGTCACAATATAAAATTATGTTAACAGTAATGTACCAGTAAACTCACTAATGATAGAGTTGTGTCATTTCAAGTGTTGTACAAAAACTAATTGCTACATCTTTGTCAAAGTTTTTATTTTAAAAAATGTAACCCTCAATTTGAAAATATAAATGTTAAAAAAAATGAGTTCACCATATAGAAAATAATTCAAAAGACAACTATATAGATTATAGAAAAAGTATAGATTATGGATAAAGAATAGATGGTGGAAAAAGAATTATGCATAGAGTAGGGACAACTGGAAATAAGTAAAACAAAGTAAGGTCACACCTGAAAAAAGGAACACAACAAAACAACAAACTTGTCGGCAGGAAGCCTTCGCCAGCGAACAAACAGAAAAAAATTAAAAATAGCACTTAGTTAAGAAGTAGTGTCCGAGAGGGCAGCAAAAGAATTGTGTGTAAATATAAAAGAACTACCACAAAGCTCCAAGTACAATAATATGGTAGATCCCCCCTTAAATATTATATGCTTAAGGGTCTGCGAAACTTAACTTCATTAACTTGTAACAGAGTTGTTTAGAAGTTTTAGATCAAGCTAATATAATGTTAAGAGGTATTTTGAGACTAAGAAAATGTGTTTAAATTCACAATAAGCTTCAGTGCATATACGTTTTTAAACCTGCATTTTTAAACATGTTTGTCTTCTTTGGCCATGGGTATATTGTAAACCACATTTTCTCCTGTAGTCAATTACAAATTAAAGCAAATATACTCTTTTGCATTTAGCAGTGTAATCTTTTTTGAGGCTATAAACATGTTATTTTGTATGACATGTTATTTTGTATGATGAGCTAACCCACATCAGCTGAGCAAAGACCTACTTAAGTTTTGATTGCAAGTATTGTTACTATTAGATTTTAAAAAAAATATTCTTTGTAGCTAATTTCCTCAGTATTACTTGGTCGGCTAAGTAAAGTAAGAAGCCACAATCCCATCATCTTCATCATCTTGACACAAACTTGAAGTCCCTGGTGCTGGCATAACTATGGATTTACATTACACACTGCAACAATTCACAGCCTTGAATTTATTGAGGTCTTGTAATAACCAGTGAGACTTGGAACAAAGCTTTACAGTACATCATTGACATTCTGAGTCTTTCACAGAAAAACATTTTTGGGACAAAAATTATTCATGAAGAGAAGCTTAACTTAAATAACTTCAGTCTTTTCTAACCATAATTTATACATGGATATTTGACATATGGGCAGTTGCAGATGTAGCGGATGTTTATTTTTAATTTACTAGTACTAGTGTAATTTTAACAATTGCCTCCTCAGCATTTATTTTGGTAAATGGAATTTTCCCCACTAGGACTAGTTGATTATTACTATAAACATAGAAACTGGCATACACAGACAAAAAGACAATAAGGATGACAAAAATTTTAAAAAGATTATAATGTAAAAGTTTTATTGCCTTAAAATTCCTGAGATTCACAATTTAAAAAAAAATGTAAATGCATTGTACAGAAATGTGTGAGTATAGGTAAATATATAGTGAACGTCTTAAATCATGGAATGGGAACAAAATCCTTAAAAAAAATTGAGCACTGATATGTGGACATTTAATAAAAATGAATTTCAAAAAAATGCTTCACAGCTGCTGCATTCGTTTATCAAAAGATCTTTAGTAAAAGTAAACTTGTAAAAGGTTCAAGCCAACGGACTGACTGTAAAAATTTTTCACAAGGTATTTAGTATATTAATTAATTATATAAGAATTTATGCTTTACATATGTATACATTAAAATTAAAATACTGATAAGTGGTTTCTATTACTATGTACAACAAATTTATACACCATCTCAATAATAGTCAAATTGAAAGTCCATTAACATAAGGCGATATCAAATGTATTTACAGGTTCATGTTTTAACCAATGCCAACCAGAAGACATAAAATAAATTTTGATTTTTAAAAATTACTAACAGGTTAGCTTAAAAGATGCACCACATGTATTTGTATATTTTTAAAACAAAATAAAAATATACATGCATCTTATGGTTTGTAAAATATCTGTCGTGAAAACTCAGTCAGTACCAGATAGAAGAGATGTCAGGTCTTGAGTTATTTGGGCCAATATGGGATCCTCATCTTGGGATGACTTATACTCCAGGCCTGAGGATTCCAAAATATTGCTTGTTGGGTAAAAATTTAAAACTTTCAATACGTTAATCATGCTCAACAAACTATTCAAGCAGTCAATAAGTAAAACAACTTAAGAATTATTGTACTGTGATTTAACTTATTTTTTTAAAAAATCAAGAATATTCTGTCCTAAACTAAAAAAAAACTTGCTGGCTGATTTTGTATGTGAAAAATACTTTAAAAACTGTCCAACATTAAAATTGACCGAGTTTAAAATTGAAAAAAAAAGAAGTTACTTTTTTTAAAATATAAAATGAGGAAAATGATTTTTACAAAGCGGCAAACCCAAATGTCCATTCGTTTGCATCACTAAAAGAACCTTATCTAAAGTTATGCACAGGTGGTTGAATGATCTATAACCAGAACAAGTAAATGACCAAAACAACTGAATAATTTGTACTGGACTTACCATCTTCCAGATTCACAGGAGATCCTTGATTATCCATCTGTGCACACTTTTCCTGCTCATCCTCTGGCTCTATTTGAGGTTTCTGATTTGGTTCACCAGTTAAAAACTGATAGAGAAAGGGAGATTGAACATTTAAGAATGTGCACTAGAGTTTAAGGAAGGTAGAGGCCTGCACACCACTAGAGTATTCGCCCCATCCCTGCAGTGTACTGTATCCAAAAAATTTAACCACAGCACTTGACACTATTTCAATTATATAACAATCATATGAGCAATCTTATGGACATGTCATTTACATTAAGAAAATAAATAAGTTAAAAATAAATACTGCCAATAGCTGTATCATGCATTATGATATCAAGAGCAGTGACACATTTTATAATCATATGATCCACAATAAACTAGATTACACTATTACAATGTTATGGTTACTGAGGTAAATTGCTTCCTGCAATATCTCCAGAGAAGTAAATCTACATAGCCATCCATATATTATTGCATTTTAAAAATTAAAAAATTGTGCATAATATTAAGATCGTCCCTGTATTTGATTGTAGGGGAAAATGAACATTATATGAACAAAATCATACAATTTTTAATGGATTAGGATATAAAACTAACAATGTTATATCAAGTGGATTAGAAACAGTAAAATTTAAAAAAAATTTTTTTTTAAAAATTCATCTGTAAGGGTCAACAACCTGTATGGAATAAGTAAAGCTACTACAATTACTTTTGAGCCCAAATGGATAAAGGTATAAATAAAATATTTTCATTTAAAAGAAGTGCAACCAGACTATTTGCCTGCTATGCTTTTTCACATCTGTTATACTTATAATCCTGAATCTTCAACTATAAGGTAAGCAGCAGTTACTTTGTCTGTCCTCTGATTTCCTTTAAATTGCTCACCCAAATTTCCAAACAAAATTCATAGCCCTCTGCATCCACACTCTTAGTAAATTGTATGTTAAATCATAGTTAGTAAAATAATAACAAGGTAAGTAATCAATGTAATATTACTTTGCCTGCAAGAAAATATATTTAAAAAAAAAAAAAAAGCCTAATTATGTTATCTTAAAGAGTTATATAATAGCATTCAAAGTTAATTCAAAGAGTAAACATCAAACAAAACTGATGTAACTGATGAAATAATACCTTGGTGAAATATTACAATCCTCATCACTTGTATGTTAAAAACAGCTATAAAGAAACTTATGATAAAAATTCTTTAACACAATGCTTTGACACTCAAATTTACAGCAATCAAAGTATAAATGATTTAATCATCCTCTGCAGTTAACTGTGATGTTTCATCGGTTGTAGTTAACTGTGTGGTATCGGTAGGCTCTGTTTGTAAAGAAATATCTCTAACCACTTCAGCTTCTACATCTGTCAAACCCTCCATCTCCAATCTAGTATCCACTTGTGCAGCTTGTTCATCCGTTTGACCATCACCAAGCTGCAGGCTGCCATCTTGTGTGCCACTCTCTTCCTTTATACCAACTTCAACTGTTGTGTCATCTTCTTTGGTCACTGGTTTGACATCATCATGCTGCTGCATGATACCAGAGTCTCTATCTTTGGGGCCTTCTCGAAACATGGCACCAATTTCATGTATTTCACCAGACATACAAGAAAAACTGGCCCACAATTCCTTGAGGATGCCATCACTTTCCATCACTTTGTCTTCAAGATTGTGAACACTGACATTGGTTGTGTCCATGACACTCACTAGCTCCTTGTGCAGCATCTCTGTGTCCTCAGTTCTCCCGGCCAGTAGAACCAGATCCTGTCTCAACGTGTTCATTGCCTCTGATAAGCCCTGGAGCATATCTTTAATTGACTTGATCATGCCAGACAAATGCCCGTTACTAGATTCATTGCTTTCACATTTCTCCAAGGCCATTTCAATGCAAGATTTCATGTCTTTGCTCATGGCAGTCTGCGTTTCAAGAGTCTGAGAAACTGAAAGAATCTTGCTCCTCAGGGATAAGATATTCTCATTCTGCTGTTCATGAGAACATTCCAACTTTGAACATTTGGTCTCAAATTTGGTGCTCATCGCCCTGGCTGTTTGCTCTATTTGATTAAGCCGCTGAGAGAACCTGGTGAAGCCAGACAAATGAACCTGTGAAACGCTGCTCACTTCTTTTTTCAGCTTTGTCACATGTTCATTCAATGCACCCAAAGACGATTCTAATGTGCTCTGCATCCTGGATAAATTTTCCATGGTATCCTTGGTTTCTTGATCAGGCATAGAAACTGGGCGTAAATCTTTCAACGACTGAAACTGTCCGATAAGTTCTTCAATTGTTTCTGAAGGCACTTCCCTGGAAATCAAACCATCTACTAGACTCTTGTAGATGGAAAAATCTTTTGTAAGTTCTTTCAGTAACCTGCTACAGCCTGAGTTTTCCTTGGACATGGTCTCAAGCTTTTTATCCAAATCTGTTTGGGATTGAAATATTTTGCTTATATTCTTTTCAGCACTGGATCTGCTCCTCTTAAGCTGACCATCTAATTCTGAAATCTTAGCTTGCATGCCTTCAAAACCCTTTTCCATGTTTGACTGCTTACTACAGCACCCTTTGAGAGAGGCCTCAACACCATTCAGTTTTTCAGAATGCTGCTTCTCAATCTTTGATTTATCGGCTACAAATGAATTCAGTTTTTTGTCAGCATTTGCGTATTCCAGCTTTAATAAACTGATGTCTCTGTCCGACTTGCTTTGAGCGGTATTTATGTTGACCAGATTGTCCTCCCAACGACTGTTTGACTTTTTGAGCTCTTTATCCACCTTGTCCAAATCTTTTGACAGGTTATCTATCTGCCTTCTGGTCTGGGACTGTGATTTAGCCATGTCATCAATACGACGTTGCTGGTTGAAAACTCTACCAAGCTGCTCCCCCTGCTGATCTATCCTCTCCATTACATCCTTTTTATGCAGCTCATAATTGCCAACTATGTTATTTAAATACATTTCTAAAGACCCGTGCCTTTCATAAATAAAGCTTAATTGTGTTTGCAACTCAGAATGCATTGCCCCCAATGCTGTAAGTTCTAACTGATGGGTACATACTTGTGTAGGTTGCTGCTCCTCATTAGCTGTGCTCTGTGTTAGATTTTGCTCTGTGCTCTTTTGTTGTGCTGCATCGTGCTGTGCCTCTGGATGTCCAACTGTCTCTGAATATATTCGTGGACGTTCAACAGCTTCTGCGGGTTTTGCTGGATGTCTGACAGCTCCTGTAGATGTCCGTGGAGGTCTAACGGCCTGAGAAGTTGACCGTCCAGGTCTAACTGTTTCTGCAAATGTCACTGAAGGTTTAACTGCTTCTGTGGGTGTTGGTGGAGGCTTAACTGTTTCTGTATGTGCCGGTGGATGTCGAGCCATCACAGTTATAGGTTTCTTCTGAGGGGTCTCTGCTACCTGCTCTGCACCACTTAACGGCAAGGTCTCAGCTCCCTGACTTTGGTGACTAGTTCTTGATCTATCCTCCTTTGAAAACGAGTAGAGGCCTGACAATACATCATCAAGTACTTCATGAATTCCTTTTTCTAAGGAGACTTGTCCCTTGGCAACATCAGAAATCAATCGTGTGATATGTGGAAAGTCCCCCTTTTCAAGTCTGACCATTGTCTCCAAATCTTTAACCAAGTCTGGCCTCAATGGGGGTTGGCTTTTACAAACTTTAGGAGGTGAAGGAGGGCGGGTAATGTTTGACAACTTGGCACGGATGCGTTCTATCATTTCAGGGTCCGCTAAGAAAGAGTAAATTCAAAACTTAGATTTCACTTGAACATGAAGGTTATTCTTAAAGGTATTGTCATTGCAAGTCCTTTGTCATTATGGCTGTTAACTTTTTATAATGCATACAAAATCTTGTAATGTAGATTTAAAATAATGTTGCAAATAAATAATGAAAACTTACCTTTCATATTCCAAATCTGAGTTGTCATAAACATGACAGTCTCTTCTAGAATCGAACTTATTTTCTGAAAGCTGGCTATGCTCCTTTCATCCATGTTCACCCATTCTTTGCATACAGTAATGACCTAAAAAAATATAAGGATACCATAAAAGTTGATTAGATGCGTTTAAACATTGACACTCAAAAACATGAGATTTCCATGATGGATATGTAATATAATTATATAGTTATGAAATTCTAAAATTAAAATCTTACTCTCAGAAAAATGAAATATTTCAATGATCCAGAGCAATGACATTTAAAATGTTTTATTTTCCCAAAATTTAAAAAACTGCATTGATGGAATCTTACCTCTTTGATGTAATCATCTACAGTGCCTTGTAACTGTTCACATTGTTTCTCAAGAAAGTCCAATTTAACTTTGACATAGGTGGCAGAGGTTTCATCCACAGTTGCCATTTTTAAGGCTTTGAAACCTTTGACAAGATAATGACATAAAATTGGGTTGCATAACTTGGTTGACCATATTTTTTTTAAAGAAGTAGTTATAAGCCTATTCATACGTTTTCTTAACATAGCAGCAATCCTAATGCCTAAATTCCAAATATAAAAGAAATAGCATTTTAGCTTAAATAACATTGCTATTATTAATATGCTTGTTTTTAATTAGCTTTGTCTGTTTTAAATTCATAAAAAAATAATGTATATATTAGAGACTTTAATTTCTTTATGCTCAACACTCGATTCAGCTTGTAATAACTTTCAAATATTCTAAATAAATAGTTTTTTCCTCTCTTAATAAATGTGTAAACGGAGCTGAGACTGCATCAGAGTGGTGAAGATACTAGGCATGTTCGCTCTAGCGAGGACCTCAGTGTCGGAGACTTTGTCTTGCCACCTGATGTCAAGGAGTTTCCTGAGGCAGGTAGTGTGAAAATGATTCCGTTTCTTGGCTTGACGCTGGTAGACTGTCCACGTTTCACATCTATAGAGCAGTGTCGGGAGGACTGCTGCGCTATAGACCTTGATCTTTGTTTCTCGTATGATACCTCTCCTGTCCCAAACAGTTCTGCGGAGCCTGCCAAATAGGGCACTAGCTTTTGCGAGTCTGCCATTCATTTCATCATCCATGACGACAGATCTAGAGAGGGTGCTGCCCAAGTAAGTAAATTTATCCACCGGGTTGAGACGCTGTCCACTGATGATGATGTTGGGTTCAACGTAGGGCTTACTGGGAGCTGGCTGATACATTACCTCAGTCTTCTTTGTGTTGATTGTGAGGCCAAAGTTATTGCAGGCCTCAAAGAAGATATCAACGCTGTGTTGCATGACGGCTTCTGATGGAGCGTTGAGGGCACAATCGTCTGCTAACAGAAGCTTGTTGATCGTGGTATGTTTGACCTTGGTTTTAGCTTGAAGCCTCCTAAGGTTAAATATTGATCCATCAGTACGAAACCGGATTGGCAAGCTCTTGGTGGAGTCCTTAAGCGCATCAGACAGCATTGCGGAATACATAATACTGAAGAGTGTGGGAGCAAGAACACAACCCTGCTTTATACCGTTGGTGACGGGGAATGCTTGAGATGATTGACCGTTGTCCTGCACTCGGGCCATCATACAGCTGACGGATGATGGTGAACTTGTCTGGGCACCCGTATTTCTTCATGATTTTCCACAGGCCACCTCTATTGACCCTGTCAAAGGCCGTATTCAGGTCGATAAATGTAGAATATAGGTCTTTTATTTGTTCCAGGCATTTCTCTTGAAGCTGTCTAGCAGCAAACACTGTATCGATAGTTTCGCGCTTTTTGCGGAAACTGCATTGACTTTCGGGTAGGAGACCTAGCTCCAGATGTGCATTGAGGCGTTCAGTATCAAAATAATAAGTCCAAGGCCTAGGCCTACATGCTTTTTTGTTTTTAAATTTTTTCATATTTAATTAAAATATGAAAATTATGCATCTATAGTCTTGGTCTAATACTTAAAATTTAATGCTATTTCATTTTAATTTTAAATCTAGACTAGATCTAAGTCTTAGTAATTTTAACATTTTGAATTTAAGTTATTATTAAACTTAAACTTTAGATTCTTTGTACTTGTTAATTGTAATAAATAAGAAAGATGGCAGAACTCCAGAAACACTTCGGCATGGGCTTCATTCTTGTACTAGCAACACTAACAGCAAACTGCTCACACAAGAGACATTATTGAATAAAAAAAATTTAAAAAAACAGTCGGAGTCTGAGTGAGAAATATGGAGGTGCTACAGTCCAGTAACTTACTTAGACTTATAACTTATAGTACTTAAAAAAGTACTTGAATGTTTAAAGTTTACAAAAAATGAGCCCAAAACGGTACTAGACACATGATTCCAGTTTCTATAAGATTCCCATTAGCAATTAGCCGGTAAAAGTGCAGTTCAGGTGCGTATATTATTTCTGTTTGAATCTCTTATTTTCCTGTGTAAACTTATGTTAATTCTTTATAAAAAGTATTTTAAAAGTTATATACCATCTTTTTATTAGAATACAACAACAATTTAACAAATTTTACGAGATAAAAAAAGTACATTTTTATGAATCTTTTGTATTTTGTGGTAAATCAAGGATAACTCTTCTGTCTTTAAAGATACTTTATAAAAGTTGCCCATATACAAACCCAGCTTACAAGCCACATTGCAATTGTTACGAGCGCCTTAGGAGAAATTCCAGTTGTATTAACGTTATTTGTTGCCCCACAAGGTGCACGTATAAACCAAATACTGCACCTTTAAAAATGCCTGTTGCATCAACAATTTTAGTTATTGTTTCTTGGTCGTCCTGCAATTTTAAACAAAATGATCCTACAACCAGCAATACCGCAAAGCCAAAACGAGTCCGTCTTATACTTATAATATAAAAAAATAATCACTAGCCCTCACTTTACTCAGCGCAAATCAGTCACCAGTAATAAGCGCATTTGCATACAAAAAAAGAGGAGGGATGCTCAAATTAGAGCTGACCAATCACGGACAGCGTATTAGCAGCCTTCAGGGTGATCAGCTTCACACCAGGTCTAGGACAATGATGACGTGTGTGTCCACTGCTTAGTCAGTGATCCCCCCCCCCCCCCCCCCCCCGCCCTTAAAAAAAAAACCCCAAATTTCAGGCGCTCTGGAGGGGGGGAAAAAAAAAAAAAGGTGGGGGGGGGGGGGGGGGGCGCTTGTGCGTAATGAAGAATCTAGTATTTCATTCTTTTTTGTGAACATGCTTAGTTTGAAAATTTCGTTTAGCATACTAACATATAGGTGGCTAAAAATCTGGCATAGCGTAAAAAGAAAAATACAAACAAATGGGGGCTGTGTCACTTTAGTTGGGGGATGTTTAAAGACTCTTTAGAAGTAAAATATAAAGAAAAGATGCGATTTATAATCCAGAATTAGTTAACTATGACTATAACTATAACTGCCTGTATTATATTCCTGTATTAGTATTAAATTATTAAAGAATACACGTAAGTTTACATGATAAAAAATTTTGAAAATACGAAATGCGCTAAGAAATAATATACGCACCTGAACTGCACTTTTACCTATTACCCAATTAGCCTTTATTTTATTTGCATAATTTTATTTAATAGTTTAGCCTACTATACTATAAATTTTTTGTTTAGAATTCGGAGTGAAACTTTGTCACTTTGTGGTACTAAAAAGTAGCCTGATTTTATTATTGTTTAAATTATTTACCTTAAAAAAACAACAATCCACTTCTCAGGCGAAAGCAATGGCTCAGGCGTCGACGAAAAGTGTTCACAGATCCTCTCTATCAAAGGGTAACTTTTACTATTGGTAAGAAGTGGTAGTTGGTAGTTATGACATGAATGACAACCACAGGCCAACTGAATTTTAAATGAATCGTATTCGTTCTTCCCGTCTTCCCCTAAGTTTTCTCATCCGCCAGGGGAAGTCAGTCAATTCTAAAAAACGAAAACTTCACGGATATAAACAATCAACGTTTCATAATTTAAAGAAATAAATACACCAACACCAAACAAATAAATTGTAATTTTATTGTTTCAAAGATGAAAATCGTTTAAAATAAATGTTATATTTCAAGAACTGTTAAAAAATTTAACAGATAAACACTACAGCCAAAATGTATATTTTAAAGTTAATGACCGCGACAACACCAGTCGGGTAAAGTAAAGTACATACATTAAACTAAATTATACATATTCATATATTGATATTGATTAATATTTAATATTGATATATTTTTATTATAAGGTCTGACATAAATTTAAAATGAGTGCAAGGTTAATAAAGATGACTTATAATTCAAGAGCTTCAGCGATAATCGTTACTTGTAAACGGTACTTTGTTGCTACCACAAACCTCAACTATGCTGGCAACAAACCATCTTCTGCAGGTGGTCGTGAGGGTAAAAATAAAAAAAAATAAAAATTAATACTGTTACTATTATTACTAGTAAATAAAAATGTAGCCTACCCGTCGACTGTCGATAAACTATATTACTAATATTAGTAAATATATGGGCAGCGAGTAATTAAGGCAATGGAAAGGAACAGAACAGAGTCAGAAGATCAAATGGATTTATCAGAAGTTAATGTGTGTTTACAATTACAAATGGTTATAATTTACACAAAATAAATAATTTTAATTTTATAAACGTTTTGAGGAATTACAACTATTATAATAACAGTAGAAGGGATTAAATACTTTATTGTAGGCCTACAAGTTCTGTGTGTGCCTTTATTTATGAAATTTTAATGGCTTGGGGGGGGGGGGGGGGGGGGGCATGCCTTGGAAGTTTGTGTAGAATTTAGGACAAGTCCATTACTAGTAGTGGTCTGTAGATTTATTCTCATACATCAGAGAATGGTTAAACACTCTAATTCTAATGCTTCAAAGTTATCAAGTTTTTCCAGTTGCAAAAGCTGGTTAAATAGTGTTCAAACAAGTGAGATTTATGAATCATGACAATGACAATTTTTTTATTACTTTAAATTTTCTTATGTTTTGGAGATAATTCAGTAATTCAGTCTATTTCATGAAAACTTTGCTTTTTTAAGTTAAAAATAATTTTTTTTAACAGGGGCAAAGACAAAAGATAGTCAAACTCCTCCTAAGAGAGAAGGTGAACAAGACAAAAAGCCAAAAGTTGCAAAGAAAGAAGGTGAACAAGACAAGAAAGCACCAGTTGCAAAGCCTGAAGAGAAAGGTTTGTATTTGTGGTTTTGATTTATCAGTATTAAAGTGATGCAACCTGGGGCATCTGCACAGCGAAAGGGGTTGGGGAGGAAATAGCTATTTTCAATCTGAGTTGGGGGCAATAAAATACCCTTTTACCTTTTTTCTAATTTCTCCAGGTAACATAATTAATATGGGAAAGGAAAAAATGCACTCATTTGATCTTTAATTTTTTGGGGGGGTGGGGGGGGTGCATTCGTATTTGCTGGTCTCCATTAAAACATTATTACAAATATTACTTTTACTGTGAATAATGTAAAGAAAATTCATAAATTTTATTTAAATGTACAATTATCGACTGTTGATCTATTTATTTTTTCTTTGCAGTCTCTGGGCAAAAACGAGATGCCAAAAAATAGTTTGCCATTTAAGGAATGTGCATTTGTTTTTTTCATGAATTGTGTTTTGACCATGTGAAACAAGGACACACTTTTTTAAATTGAATATAGAAACAAGAACATTTTCAGACAGCTGTAGCAATGAATTAGTGCTCCTTTTAGCTCTGCGATTAAAATATATGTATTTTCTTATTTATTAAGCCCCACCCCACTTCTTTTTTTGACACTCACACGCTAGGTCAGCTCTCAATAAATTGAAGCATAATATATTACCCTATAATTAGGTATATTTTTCATTTACTTTTCTTGAGCTGAAATATTTATTAATTGTTTTGGATTTCTATAATGATATTTATTTACATTTATTGATGTCACATAGTCTTATTTATGCTGATGTGAAGCTGAATATTTTTTAGATACATTTTATATGTCACTTTTATTTATGTTCAGTATAAAGCTAATCTTTATCTTTATGTGTTTGCTCTGAATTGAAACTTAATTCATAGGAAAATGAAGATCTATTTTATTATACCCTCGACCCTCTTTTATATTATAATATGAATATATACCTGTATTTAGTAACAAAAATGTCTTTCCTTTTTTTATTTATCTAATTAAGAAGAGAAAAATTATAACATAATGTATTAAATACATAGAAATTGATTGAATAGTTTTATTTCCTGTTCTAAATTCTTTTTTTATTTACTGTTCTATGTTTTTGTTGTTTGAATGAAATAAGGGAGCGAACTTATAATTGGTAAAGCATTACACATATTTGAATTATGTCCCTTTATTTTTCTTTCGAAATTTAAAAACAAAAAACTAGCGTTTACCAATACGTGAGAATGACTCAAGACTTTAAAACACCTCTCTCCCCCCCCCCCAAAAAACAACAACAAAACAACAACAAACAAACAAAAAAAAACAAAAGAAAAAAGATTTTAAATTGGTCAGCTGTGAACTCATGTGAATGTGGTTGGTTTAATAAGTTAACAAGGCTATGGTTGGTGCCGCCCCTCTTTAAGACCTATATAGTTGTCCAAATATGCCACCCCTCTTTATAAAGAAAATAATCCCCCCCCCACCTTTTCCGTACCTCCCTTTCAACGCCACTGTTTAGTGGTTTGAAGTTATATTGAGCAGTTTCCGGAAAGTCAGTCATAAAATAAATGAGTAATTACAAAGGTCTGTTTAAAACAACAACAACAGCAACACAGTAGATCGTTACAAGTTTCCTCAATAAAGATAATGAAGGGGACAGATTGCAGTGAGGTTAGGGTAATAGCATGGGCGCCCGCAAGGGGGGGGGGAAGGGGGCACTTGCCCCCCCCCCCCCCCCGGTGGGTTGGATAAAAAGTTTTTAGACAAAAAAAAAAAAAAAAAAAATTAAGAGAAAAAAAAAAAAAAAAAAAAAAAAAAAAAAAAAAAAAAAAAAAAAAAAAAAAAAAAAAAACCCCAAAACC